CTGCCTCACTTTTGTGGCAATAAGCAACAACAGTTGATCATCATCACACTTTAAATTTAAGTCTTAAGTCTTCTTATACAAGATCTGTGTTTAGTGACATACGCATTCACTTTATCAGTAAACAACTTAAAATGACATATATAAATGAAGACATCTCTTTGAACAGCTTTGAACCTCACACAATAAAACCACGAGACAGTTGCATTGCTGAAAGTGTATGTCTGCATTCTGCACCAATTAGAAAGCAAGAACAGAAGTAGTAATACCAGCCACAGAGTCTATGAGACTCTCCAGGTTTTAAAATGACTAATAATGAAACTTAAATAACTAAGTAACGTAATAAAGAAACACGTCCGTTGGTGACATGTTGTCAGCCACGATATAATACAATGAAGCATGAAAAGTCAGCGGTAAATCACCACGTTCTCTCTGTCAACAACTGAAAGAAGACGGAGGACACAAAGCACATGCAAAACTGCATTTTCACTGTGCTCCACTGAGTCACTGAAACCAGCAGAAAGCCACAATTTCATTTCTCAACTGTGTGAAGACACTGCTCTGCACTGCAACTCACATTTCCACTACTCACTGATCATCTTGAAGTCCATTCTGTGAGAGTGCTTCACGGTTGCTAGCTACAGCTGGCCACGCTGCCTCCCACACTGACAGCTCAGTGCCGGGCTGACCGAGGTACACTCGTCCACATTTGAGCCGCCAGTCCCGTCTCTCCTGCAGCTGCCTGTGTGCTCTCTCTCTCTCTCTCTCTCTCTCTCTCTCACTCTCACTCTCTCTCTCGCTTTCTCTCTCACCTACTCCATTTCTAACTTGACCTCTCTCTAACTAACGCTTTATCTTTCTCTCCCTCTCAACTTTCTTTCAGTCACTCAGCTTCACTGCGTGTCCTCATCACCAAAGCGGTCTTTCTTCGATGTCTCCTGACTACATGCACTTCTCTTTTCCTCTCACTTTCTCGCTTGCGCTCTCTCTTATTACACACAATCTCTGTTTCTCTGTGTCTCCCACCCCCTCTTCAACGACACTATACATAGTTCTCAGCCATGTGCTACAGTCAGACCCAGCATACTATCCCACTACTCTGTCATAAATCACACACATATATAGATCATTAAAAACTTTGGAAATCTACACAGCTGTGCTCCCTTTTATGTCCTTTACAACTTTATTACATGAAATTACTTCACCTTTGTTGCATTAATCATCAGGTATAAAAGAAATAAATAGCCAATTTACCCCCAGTCCCAAAAACGAAGCAGTATTTTTAAGCTTTACAAGTGAAAAAACGTAATGACTGTGCGTGTATCATGTCACAATAGGAATGTCAATGTATATTTAGTTGAAATGGGCATACGAACAATACGTGTTTTTGTAATCCCTGAGAGTTTCCTTTTGATTCCACACCACATCTGCTGTCAATGGGTCTTAAAAGCAACACAATGTACAATGACAACAGAGTGGAAGAAAGAAAATGAAAGAAATAAAGAGAAAGAAACACCAACATTGAGCTAGAAGGATGGCAGCCTGTAAACTAAAGCCACTTACTTCCTTCTGAGCAGTACAATGCAGGAAATGATCTCAAGAAAATCACTTTAAACAACCCCCACTTAGAGTTGACATAAATATGGCTAAATCCCACTGGTCTTCAGTTGAGGTGGTTTTTTTGAGTCTGGATGCTTTAAGAGGAAAAAGCACCGCAGACGTAAACATTTAGTGCCAGGATTACACATACACTATTTGAAGAGTTACACCTCCTTCACAGTCCTGAAGGATCGCACATTTGAGGGCCCCGAAAAGCGCTATATAAATGCAATCCATCATTATTATTATTATTATTTAAGCAGAGAGTGTGTATATGTAAGGAATATATTTTGTTTTGACTCTACTTACACAACCTGCTAGCATTAAGAGGAGGAATAAATACATCAGTCTTCACCAGACTACTGATTTAACACAGCCATGCTAATGTGTAAACGTATTCAAATATTATATCTAAATCTAGAAGCTGCAAAAGACAAGTATATACTTGAAGCCCACTAATAAAGCAACACATAATAATAAAGATTAATGACAGAACTTTTATCGCTGCAAACCCAAGCTGTGTGCATCAATCGAGCGTTAAATAATAAGATAATTTGGCACAAGCCTGTTTTCTGGAATTACAAATCTTGTGTTAGCCGGCTGACTCGCTAAGGCAACACTTCAGTCGAGCCCGTGGAGAAGCATTCTTAAACAATGCAGGAAAAAAAGCAAACGGGGCTAAAGTGAGGCTGGAGTTGTGTAAGCGAGTTATCTGCTGAATCAGGACGTGAGAATGAAACTGACTCATCTGCGAGCCCGGGTTTGGTGAAGAAAAGCACCTTGCAATTGGTAGCTCAGTGGTTTTCAAATACTCTTGTCAATTGTTGTTTTATTTTGTCATTTTTTAAAGCAATTGCACTCGCAACATGCAATCTATGCATGAATGCCTAATCAAAGTCAAAGCTCTTGTTCAATTATTAGCATTTTACACCTGCTTTTGAAGCGGAATGAGAAATTCTCATTTAATTTCTGCCTTTCTACCTCACTCAAATCTCTCCGTAGACTCCAGAGTTGCACATCCTACATTTGTTGTAATCTGAAGCAGACGGAAAATGGTACACAAATAAAGTAACATTTTAGCTCGTAGTGCAGGTTAGCTCCAGAATGTTGTGAGATCCTTTGCAGAACATGCAAAGATTTAAAATATCTTTGCATGTTCTGTATGCAAACAAACAAACACAATGTATACAGAAGCACATAATCACATATGTGCATTTTCATATACTAGTTACTTTAACAGCTACATAACTTTGATTGTAAAGCTTTGAAAAAACATAAAGACCAGAATCAGGTTAGAGCACTGAAGAGAGGAACAATACCAAAAATGGTAAGAAAGCAATAACAACACCAACACTATCCAAGTTTCAAACTTAATGCAGAGCTTGCCCAAACTCGGGATAATAAAATGTCTTTTATGACATCAGATAATCACTTTAGCCTTCATGTCTTTAAACCTGTGCCCTGACAAAATGTCAGCTGGGGGAGTCAATGCCTTACCCAAGGCCAATTTTACAGTAATAAAGACCACTTCTGACTTTTCAATTCAGCACTCCTTACTTCTAGGCTCGTAAGTGCTTCAGAGCTTTTAAAAGAGGAAAACTACAGCATGTGTTTGTTACAGGGATATCATAGTCTCTGAACTAAAAATAAACCAACTATAAAATCATTCAAATTAGATTCAATAAATATATTACATCACAATAGCAACACATGCCTATTTAAAAGCACAATAACATGGCTATGGGTAACTAACTTTGTTGCTTGATAACAAATTCTACAAGTTTTGACGGGCGGGGGTTCATGCTATGCATGAGCAAGACTTCTAAGCTGCTATGTGTGTGCGCGTGTCTGGCTCAATTCTGTTTCCTGTAACACCCATTAGAACAGAACAGTGTGTCACGTTAAAGATATGCACTGTGTAAGCGTGCGTCTGTGTGCGATTGTGTGTTGCCTCAAAAAAGCTGGCCTGACAAAAACAAATGCTTTATAATTATTAACACGACCGAGAGCAAATCAAAAAGAAAGAAACAGAAAAATGTGTTTGCATACTTGTGTGTGCATCTGAGTGTGTGTGTCTCCTTGATCCTGTCAGAGACAGCCTGTCCGCTGTCTCACTGCCAGTGGAAATTAATGACAGTATTGGCTTACATTTAAGTCATACGTAACATCTCTACAGAGAAGGTAGACAGACAGCTGAACAACGGACCGACAACCTGACTGGTTGGACAATGAAGTCATGTGGAGACTGAGGGAAAAGGGCAGTGAGAGTGAGAAAAAGAGGTGAAACGCAATATGCATGATAGAATTTAGCTTATTGTCTTATCTTCTCACAACTGACATTTTAATTTACTCCTCAAAGCATTTAAGTGGCAGAGCTTGATGATCCTCTGCTGCATAAAAAGCTGGAATGTAAGTCTATCATGCTGTGATTCCGAAGCTTTTCTGGGGAGCGGCGCAAGCATGTTTGAAGTGCATATCACCTCTTTTCAGATAACCTGATGTGTGTGTAATGAGCGTTGTGTAGACTCTGTGATGTCTGGAAGTTTTTCCTTCCTTCTTAAACCACTTGAGCACGAGTGTATCTAAATTAGAGAATAGAAGGGAAAGGGGGAGACGGTGAGGGCTATGTGAATGGAGAGAACACAGCAAGGCAAATAAAAGAGAATGGAAAGAGGGAAAGGCCAACCACTGGGATCAGCTACAGACCCCAACATACCCAGATCACGCTGTGGATAAGGAATCATGTGGGAAAAGTGCAGAGAGGAGGAAAACGAGGGGAGCAATAGACCGCAGGGGAATAATGAGAATCCCAGAAGTTCCCGCTTCACTTGGGATCCAATTTGTGCACCTCTGTTTATTATCTTATGAGCAGAAATAAGAGCCAATTATCCTATAATGTTGAGACAGGTGTCAAATTAATGGAAATCTTAACAGAAAGTGTGTTAGTAAGGTGTTAGACCACCACATGCTGCCAGAACAGCTTCAGTGTGCACTGGAATAGATCCTCCAAGTCTCAGGAGTCTCTTCCAAAGGATGCTGCCTCATTCTGTGTTTTGATGATGGTGGACAGCGCTGTCAGTCCAAAATATTCCACAGTTCTTTGTTCGCATCGAGATGATGATTGCAAATAGGATAGCATTTAGGTCACTTCATACTTCTCAAACCTTTCTATGTCGTCTCATGCCCCGTGATGCGGGCATTATAGCAGAGAGCATGTTTCACTCAGAACAAGTAGAATAAGTGGGATCAAACCATGCCAGCAAAAATGTCCTCCACAGCATAATTTATTAATTTTTTTCCTTATAATGTGTCATCTGTCTGTGTATTTAAGATACACATACTCTATATCACATTAAGTTATTTTCCCAAGATTACGTGCATGCAAACAACAGCATGAAGCCTACCTTTCAAGACAGCGTGGCTGTTGGGGCACTGGGGTAATGGGTAAAGGAGTGCCGTGCGAGCACCAAGCACGAGTGTGGCCTCTAGCAGTGCTCCAGTTAGCAGGGAACCCAACTTCGTCTTCTGGCTACAAGACCGATAAAACCTAGAAATAAAGTTTGTTTGCAACTTTAATCTAAATATCTCATGTTATATCCAGTCTGTAATTTCCAGAGCATTCAGATTACATAACTGAAGGTAAAATATGTAGCATTTTGGGGATGCATGCAGCTGACAAGCAGCACCACTGTCAGTTAATCTGTTAGCAAAACTCTTACTAGTTAATGGTTTGACCAATTAAGAACTGGAAAGTAATGGGATATTCTCTACAGCACAAGATTTTGCCCCCAATTATGTTCATACGTCTCGCATGCAGTATAATTTCACACCTAAATTCTCTTCATTTTGTAAATTGTATCATTTTGTGGACTCAGTCATTTCCCTTAGGACAAATTTTGGTTTAAACAGGACATTTCAGACAAAAGAAAACATGAATATCCAAACCTGGAGGTGTAAGATGAATGACAGTGCTGAGTTTTAATGTAGGGCTTCAGATCAAGGCTGGCTGGGCTGCTGCTGACCAAGTCCACTGGCCAGAGAGACTTCCTGAGACAGACACATCCAGGGCACAACAACAGGAGCTTTTTGGCAGGATGAATCAGGTTGATCTCCTCTCTTTCCTCCACATAGTTGTTAACCTGTAAAGGAAGCCATTACCAAAATGGTTATTTGCAAAGAACTAAAAATGGAAACACCTGTTTGTAGGAAAGAGACCTTATACATGTCCATATAATCAATATACACAAGCAATTCTAAACAGGCTTGGCTTTTTCACATACAGTGCTTACCAAATTTATTAGACCAACTGTCATTGAAAACAAAAACAAAAAAACAAGCATTTTAGAAATCTGGCAAAAATTGTTGAAATCTAAAAATTTAAATATTATTTATTTGGCAAAAAAAAAAAAAAAATACATTTTATACCCAAATCATAACATTCAACTACTAAAACTATTTTTTATGTTCAGGGATCTGAGTAAATAACTATAATTTTAATCAACTATAATCAAACTCAAAAAATAATAATGTGCTTTAGTATATTTTTTCAGCTTTTTGTTAAACACTACATTTAAAAATGCATATGTAACAACATGAACTATAAGAAGTACCAGCACTGGTAATTAAGGGCAACAGTGGCATTAAACGTACATTTTTTTTAAGCACTATACATACATTACGTTGGCTTTTATTTATATAAAAGTAACTTCCATTTAAAGGTTTTGTTTTCAGGAAGTTGAACATACATAATGAGTACTATATGATCATCTTTAACAACCTTGAATACCCTTGTACGCGCTAATAGAATACGCAAGATGAAACAAAAATGTATGTAATCCGGTGTAGTTGCAGTGTATTGCGTAACATTTGAATTAGAGGTCACTATCATGAGCTTCTTCACCATAGTCATTCTTAGAAGCAATTTCTCTTCAGTGACAAGAAAAAAATCAAAGCTTCAAAAGAAATAATTAACTGAGAGAACTGCGATTGAGGCACAAAACAGATAGGAAGAAAGGGAGGAAAAAGACCTTGACAGAGTGAGACAGACAGATATGTGGTACATAGAAAAAGGCGAATAACAAGGAAGATGGAGAGGAGAAGGCTGGAGGCAGCTGTCAAGCTTTACTGGGTGAACATTTTGACCTTTATTTCATGCTCTTCTCAGAAAAAAATCCATCTGACTTAAAGGAAACAATTATCAAAAAAATATCGCTTGTTCCTTGTCCTTGTTTGAACCTGCACAGGGGCTCTGCTGGCACAGATTTCAGAGAAACGCTATTAAGAAAAAGATTTTGTGGCACTGTAAGCGGGCGCTCATGCTGAGGATGGATATCACAATGGGGCAAAAAAATCAATACTGGTTTTAGAGTGGGGAATGAACACAATACAAGTTTAATGCGGACATATTCCTCGAAGTGTATGATCATCAACTGCTTGATAAAAAAGCAAAAGGAGCAAGATTGCAGAAAAGCTAACGTCTATACAAATACTAGACACTGACTGGCACTGGTGTGGCATAATATCCACATGCACAACCGTGCATATTATATCTCAGTGGGATGGGTTTCCTGCATGGGGTGTAGGCCTAGCTGTTGTCAGATCTGGACCATCCCCAGGGAAAGGAGACATATCAGCCTGCACGTTTAGAGAGTCAGAGTCAAGAGTGAGAAACACAAAGAAGAAGGGTTACACACAAACGCGAACACGCACGCGAGTGAGCATAATTACCAAAAGCCTAAACTTTAAACAACATGTTGGAAGGAAAAAATATAAAACTGACATTAAGCATATTTGGGCTAATCGCCTCTCCCATTTCTTTCCCTCTTCTTATCTAACATTTCTCATAAAAGACCTTCCTTTACTGGCATCTAGAGACTGTGCATGTCCACCGAACAGACATTAAGTCTACTACTTTAAAAGGGTAGTTTTTCCACAATGAACGCCATGTTTGACCTGGGCCAAGCATAGCACTCGTGCCTTTTAATATTTATTCTGCATTTTAAAAGGGGTTGAATTTGAGTTAATTAGAGCTTGATTTTTTTTTCTGTTTCCCATTAGTAATAAACATTCATGGGCAGAGAAGTTTCGCTGCTAGTAAACACTGCATGAATGCTCCAAAACTGAGTATCAAAGCAACAGAAATGCCAGTGGGCCAAGCAGCTGCAAATAACCCCAAAACAGAAGAAATAGAGACTACAGAATTACATCTATAAACTGTTTAGAGGTGCAACTGATTCAAGGAGTCAAAAAGAAAGTACATTATTTTGATAAGCAATTATCAAAGTGTTTTGTTTTTCTCCGATATGAGTATTTGATCTTTTTATTAGTCATAAAAAGCCTTAAATATGTTGTGGTTTTGAACGTTTCGTAAGCCATATCAAGACATTTGATTAAATCACCAAAGATGTGGCCTCATTTTCATGGATGGATTCAAGGATTTCCTTTTATTTTGTTGGATACTTTTTTCCTGGTATTCTCCTCTCCTGTAAAATATCTGGTAGTCCAAGACACTTTTGTAAAGCGACCAACTGTTTTAAGACTTTTAAATATAAGTCGCTGTAATAATGAATAACCCCCGTCTATAACAGCTTTTGAGAAAGACCAAAACAATGAATCCCAGACTAAACAATGGTCCATAAGTCTAGCAGGTCTTTTAGACACAAGAAAAAAGTCAAGGTAATCCATTATGTGGCGATCACATGGGGCAACATCAAGTCTGTTGTTCTCCTGTAACACTTACTCTTTCTTATAGGTAACAAATGTTTTAGTAGCACAACAGACCTGAAAATTGGGAACTAACAAAGTAAGAAAAAGAGTGCGCACAAGCATGTACGTGTGCTAAAGTGAGCTCAACTCCAGAGGACACTGCAGGGAATCTGCTGCTGCTGCTTTTGATCGACACAAAGCAGCTGTCCTCACACACACACACACACACACACACACACACACACACACACACACACACACACACACACACACACACACACACACA